TAACTTAGATTTTATTGAAACTGTTACTGGCCAGCATTCAATTTAACATACAGAGTAAGCAGTAGAGAGTTTAGGGCAATTACTGCAGTTTTTGACGAAGTAAACCTGTCACAAACAAATGTTTATATCGTTATGACAGTTAGGATGCAGCTCTATAGAGATTATTGTATTATTTTCTGTAACAATAACTATTTTTGAAGTGTCGAGTATAAGTTTTAATGATCCTTCAGTTGAACCAATAATATTTAACAACAGATAGAAGCGATCCTGATCAGCATACTCATTGAACTTGTTTACCTTTGCCATTCGCACAAAGATGGAGAATATAATAAATAATAATTGTAATGAATAAGTGATCACAGTTGTACTTTTACTGATTTAAATTTTATTGTGTTTTTGTAGGAAATAATCTTTTAACTGCATTATTTATTACCATTTCAGCGGATTAAATGTTTTTAGTATGAAGGCCAGACCAGATTTTTTTTTATATAAATGGATGTAGTTGAGCAAATAATTAATATTAAGATCACGATTGAAATGCAGACGTTATAATGGTGTAATGGGTTGAAAATGTTGATCCTTAATATATTTTTTTCTACAACAAATCAGTAAAACTTACATTTTGTATACAAAATGATTTAAAAAAAAATGATTCATTCTGAATATTTTAAAATTTAGAACTGTCATAAAAAACTCCAAAAACACGTCAATTTTGTTTGATTATCATACGTCACTCGCCTCTTCTCCATCTCTCTACACATCATTGAAAAGATAGTTATGAGAAATCCAGTATTATGAGTGTTGATTGCGTTACCTTTAATTTTAGCGCCATCTAGTGGGATAAAAAACTGTTATACATATTGTAAGTGTGGTATTTTATTTGATATCTAATTTTATTAGTAAAATAATGCAATAAGAATAAAACATAATTGAACAAAATATGAAATTAAATAAATGAAAAATATTGTATAGCTTTAAGATTGAAAAAATAACTTTAACCAAAGTATAACAAATGACTACGCATTAAATTAAAAAAAATAGCTTCTATTCCGCTAGAGGGCACTAAAATGTTTATCAAATTTTTGAAATCCCCATAAAATTACCTATTCAGTGATGTATCATACTTTGTATTTTCCCTATTTAAAAAGTATTGGTTCAGTATATTGGGGGAATTTAGAGAAAAGTGCTGGGGAATAAGGGAATTTTAAGGAATATTCTGTAGGAAATCAGAAGAATTTTGGGAAAAATTGTGAGGAATTGTTGAAAAAATTTTTTTGAGGAGAATGGAGACAATTTTGGGACAATTGAGGGAGAAATGTGAAAAAATTGTGAAGGGAATTAGTGAAAATTGTGGGAAAATGTTAGGGCAAATTTGGGAAAATTGTAGGGAAATGAGGGGGGGAACTGTGGTGGAATAAGGGCCAAATTCGGGAATATTGTGGGGGAACTAAAGACAAATTTGCGAAAATTTCTTGGAAATAAGAAGGGAATTAAGGAAAATGTAGGGAACTTGCTAAAATTGTGGGAATTTTTAAGAGGAATTTAGGAAAATTTGCAGGGAATTTGGAAATATTTGCGGGTAAAATGAAGGGTAAATTGTGGTGGAATGAGGGCGGAATTCGGGAATATTGTGGGGGGACCAGGGACAAATTTGGAAAAATAGTTTGAAAATAAGAGGGGAATTTAGGAAAATGTAGGGAACTTGCTAAAAAAGTGGGAAATAATAGGATGAATTTGGAATGATTTGCAAAGAGTTTGAGAAAATTTGCGGGTAAAATGAGGGGGGAATTGTGGTAGAGTAAGGGTGGAATTCAGAAATATTATGGAGGAATCAGGGACTAATTTGGGAAAATAGTTCGGAAATAAGAGGAGAGTTCAGGAAAATGTAGAGGAACTTGCTAAAATTGTGCGAATTTTTAGAGGGAATTTGGGAATATTTGCAGGGAATTGGGAGAATTTGCGGGTAAAATGAGGGGGAATTGAGGTGGAATAAGGGCGGAATTCGGGAATATTGTGGGGGAACAAGGGAAAAATTTGGGAAAATAGTTTGGAAATAAGAGGGGGATTCAGGAAAATGTAGGGAAACTTGTTAAAATTGTGAGAATTTTTAGGGGGAACTTGGTAAAATTTGCTGGGAAAAGAGGGGAAATATAGAGGAATTCGGGAAAATTGTGGAGAAATGTGGAGAAAGACAGATGACGAAAATCCTTAAACGTTATTAAACAATACATTAAATATATGAAAAAATTTATTCGAGTCCATTTGCAGTACAATCCTTAATTGAGCCACAATTTTGCCCAACCCTGTATACCCTTCGGATCAATAACCGATAGTGTTTCGAAACATTAAACCGATTTTTCCCTCTCTAAATATTTATCATTTTATCTTATATCTAGTTTTTCAAAATTATAATCATCTTGAATAAACAGTAATGCAACGGTGTCCATGTTTCATTTAACGCTGCAGTGCATATTTTTAGGATGGTCTACCTACTATATTAAGTAATCCTATTCTCTATTCAAGAATTGCGGCAGATTCTTAGATAACACCGATGCTGACGAGATCGCTTAGTAATTTTGAATTTTTGATGAGGTTTTTAACCTCCATCAGATGTAAAAACCGTTATAAAATATAAACTTTCGGTTTTGAAAGTATATCGATGGTCTCATTCTTTTTCTATCATCTTAATTAATAGTTTATAAATGCCAATTATTCTCAATTATCCAGTATTGTTATTAAATTGGGTTCGAAGAATATCGATGATTTACTTTCAAGAGCGATATCTGAGAATAGATCGGCGCTGCATTGTAAACTACAATTAACAATGTGTGAAACTGAATTTTTAGTGATAAATAAGTCAGTAATTGAATTTGAATGGATTGTTATATCAAACAATAGAGTTCCTTATGGAATCGATATACAATAAATTAATGCGATTGTCAATCAATTTGTTATTGAATACATTTAGATTCGAACTTCATATCGAATATATTTGCAAACCAAACCGTGATCCTGATAATGAAATGTTTTAAAGCAAAAATTGTATGCATGTAAAAATACTTGTAAAAGTAGTTTAAAAGTTTCTAGTTATATTATTTGTATTGTATTTATTGGATTGATATTGAAAAAAATATAAATTAAATAAAAGTTGACAACTAATGGCGCTGCATTAAAAAGTTTAATTGAAAAGTTAAATTATATTTTTTTACTACGTTTTATATTGTCTACTAAGATTAAAATACAAAAGTTACTTTACGCACTAGTGTATAAAGTAATAATTGTACCTTTTATTTTAATATAAATTTATTTGAAGTTTATATTTAATAAATAACAATAATAAATAAAGCAATGCTCAATAAAATAATTTACTTGTTTTATATTATTGCTATGTACAATTTTTGACATATTTTGTTTCAAGCATTAGTACGTAAAGTTTTATTTTACGCACTAGTGAAAAAAGTAAAATTTTGCGAACTTCTTAGCGTAATTTACGCACGGTAGTAGAAAAAATTGTTTTAACGAGGATAATACCTTGTAAAGATATTATATTAAAGCAGGTATGTTCTTTAGTAATAAATATAAAATTAATTAATAGTAGCTGCACGTGACTTCATTGCTTTATACGAATAAAAAATGCGGGTAATACCTTAGTCACATTTATATTAATTGAAATATTCTATTATTTGGAATAAACTATTTTGTTATTAATATAAACTTAACTAGCACTATAATAAAATACCTGTTATTTATTAGTTGGTAATTGCACTGGTAGATAGATAAATAAGCGTCATGAGTTTGTTAATTAAGTTCTGCTACACTGTTTTTATTAAATATACATATATGCATACTAGTGTTATTTAGCAATCTAAATACTTAAAACCTTAGCTTACCTTTTTGCTAATTACCTAAAGAAAATATATTCAAATCTAGACCAATTCAGTTTGGTTATAAACTTAGTGAAGATATTTACTATAAATTCAGTTTTTAAATAATTTATTTTAATCTGTTTTAAACCTATATAAAATAATTTTGTGTAATTTAATTTTGTATGAATATTTTAAATCTAAGTACACATTTGTATTGAGTTTAGATTTCATTATTAAACTTTTTAGTTACAAGATTTATAATAATTTTTTTTTCTGATTTTAAATGATAAACAAAAAAATTGTAAACTACTAAATTAGGGTACATTTTTATTTGTTAAAATTTACATCTCGACTAATTCAAACCCTACAACTTTTATATTAATACATACTTTACATTTTATTACATTAAATAAGCAATAAATATATTATTAACGAAATATTTATTAATTATTAGTATACAAATATATTAAGATACTTAGGAGAAAAAAAAAATAGTTTATATTTAGTTTACACAGAGTTTTGAGTCATACATAAAGATACAATAATACAACTTAGTTCCTTATCGTGGTTTTTATTAAATTCTTGCCACAAAATTAAAGTGACAACAATTCTATCACAAATAGGTATTATGAGAACTCTCAAGAGCTAGATCAAAAGTGCAGTAATCATAAGCCTTCTATAAACAATTTTGAGAAGTTTATTACATAATCTCGTTATGTTACTATTAATTTCTAATGCCATAAATATTTTATCAAGAATTTAAAAAGATAATTTTATAAAAAATACTTATTCTCTTTATAAACAAAAGCGAACAATTTGAAACAAATAGTAATTTATATGATTCTACTTTTACTATAAAAAAAGACGTTTTATTTTTTTATTTTATATTGACATTAACCTTTTATTTTGATAATATATCAATAAAATAACAAAAACCCCATATCTTGTGACAACATAAAAAAACTTTATGTATTTCTATCTTTATCTTAGACCTCAATGTACTCTAAATTATAAACATTTTTTTAAATAATTTCTCCTATTTGTCAGTTTAACTCTACTATTATTATTATTATCATCCAAGCAGTTTTAGTAACTTTAGTAAATTTTAATTAAATAAAAATCGATTCATCGTACCGATCCGCTTTACGTGTACGTCTCTATTGAAGGAAACACGTGGTTTTTGCGAGGCATCCGATCGTTGAGAATCCGAGCGGCTCACATCAGGCATCCCAGCTCTAACGAGTATTCATCCTAGAATATTCACCACAATTTCAACACAAAAATTCTTTAAAATTAGTCATGATAGATGAGTGATAATGTATGTGAAATGAAATGATTTAAATGCTGTATGGCGCATTACGGTTAATACAATCAATCAAGAGGAGTTGGTAGGTATATTCTAATCAATAGAATAACAATAATAATCGTTTATTATCTAGGTCATCTAGATTTTTGTTAATGCTGTATATATTTTGAAGAAAAACTTAGTATTAAATAATTCACATCCGTTATGTGAATAAAACTTTTTTTTCAGTGTAACATATTTTTTTTGTAGACCTACTATTTTTTTTAAATATTATTTATTTGGTATGAATCCGGTTTCTAGTATTATAGTTGCCCAGGGCTGTAAAATTTTTCCTAATTCTCTGTTCTCTAAAACATTATATACAGGGTGGGGACTTTAACTGGCGCAAATTCGCTACAGCTTCAGGTTGAAAAATGCGGATAAAACGTAAAAACACGTCGATTGAGTTTTTTTCTCAATTGACGTGTTTTTGGGTTTCATCCGCATCTTTCAACCTGAAGCTGTAGCGAATTTGCGCCTGTTAAAGTCCCCACCCTATATAACAATAAAAAATGTAAAATTTCGTTTAACCAAAGTTCATTTAGAAAACAAACTCTCGTTTGTTAGGTGTGTGCGATCTTTTATTTTTAATTAAATCCAAAAAAATAATTAAATTACTATGATTAATCGATTTAAATTGAACATGCATTCCATAAAACACAATTGATTATCACGAATCTCTTGAAACTGCGCAATCATTTCGAATAAGAAAAATCAGTGGTAAATTGCATCTAAATTGACGCCATATTTGGAGCGGTTTATAGATTTTATTGTATATCTAATCTGAAATAGCGCGAATCAGCAATACTTTCATTTTTGGAAACTGGTTTTATCGCAGGCGAGTGTGTTGACCTAGTTATTACATAATAACGGACAGGTACCTTAAGGTCGTTTTTAAATCTACTTGTCCATTGGTGCAGAAGGCTTAGAATGTAGAGGTTTGTACAAATAAATTAACAAACCTACGCTTTTGGTCTGGATTTAAAGTTTAAAATTGGAAATTATATCGTACGCATAATTGTAAACCATATTTTAAATTATCGAAATGAAAGATAAAAAATATTGACTCTCAGAGTATATTTTATGGTTCTGACTTTTTTATAGGTTATATTTATATTCCCCCTCATTTTATTCTCCTTCTGTGACAGCTTTGAAGCCCTAAAAATTAAGTTCGAATATGTTAATTTTATTATGTTCGGAGATTTTAATGTTCCTGAGATTCACTGGTGTTTAGAAGAAGTTGCGACTGTTCCCAATCATTTATATACATCCTAACGCTCAAATTTTAGTAGAATTTTTAATTTTTCTAGTAATCCAGCAAATCAATTTCAAATTCTTAACGTAAAATTCTTGATTTAATGTTTACTGACGATATCCTTGAACTGGCCACTTCTGAATGTTTTAATCCTTTAGTTAAAAAAAGTAACACCATGTAGCTAGGGTTGCCAACCGTCCTGCATTTGGGGTGCATTGTCTATAGTCTATTTTTATGTATGAGAGAGTATTAAAATAATAAAGCGTTCGTAATCCATAGGCGTATCACTTTCTTTAGTAGACAGTTAAAATATTTTTTGAAGTTATTCCTCGAGTATACACTTATATTTTCACCTAATTAACCTGCTTATAATTTCTAAACAGCTGAAGGTAAAAAAGTGCAATTTTTTCTAAAATGTTTTATTTTTCTACAAGGTATGTTAAGAACATTGTGTCATCGGGTTATGTAGGTATAAGGGTTTAAACTTTGACTTTTAAACAACGTTACGTTCATAAATAATAATTTTAATATAAAAACTACTTCTTACCTACAAATACAAATCAGAATCGAAATCAGAAGATGAACTGTCGCAAACAATATTTACAATGAGTGGCTCGATCATTTCATCAGTAATATTGTCCAACTTCCACATTTTCTCTTCTTCTTTAATCGTATGATTTACTGTCAGTTTTCAGGCTTCACATTATTTACAGCCTCCAAAAACAACTGTTTAACATCACTCATTTTAAAAGAATTATTTTTTCTTGAAACTTCTCCCTTTATCTGTGCCCATATCAGTTCAATCGGGTTTATTTCGCAATGATATGGTGGTGATCTAACCACCGAATCCCACGATTTTTTGCAATTTCATCAATTTCATATTTTTTGAATTTATCTTTATGAAGGGAACACAAATGATACAGTTCTTTTCTCACACAACCGGGATGGAACTTAATATTCTTTGAATTTAGCCAATTCTGTAAATCTTTTTTTAACCACTTGGTTGTGGGCATTTTTTCTATAAGTATCGAGTGATAACTTGCATTATCCATTACTATTATACAGTTCTGAGGAAGAAGATCTATAATTTGTTGGAACCACTCTTTACAGACATCAGCATTCATGTCCTCATGGTAGTCACCGGTACGAGTAGATTCAAAAGTCAATAAACCACCTTTAACAAAATCGTTTGAACTACCGATGTGTACTATTATTAGTCTGCGCCCCTTTCCTGATGGTGGATTTAAACCAGTAGATAAATTATTTAAAAAAGCCTGTCTTCGACTTGTAACAGTTTCATCTTGCCAAAATTTATTTGGTTTATGTCCCTCGTTGATCCATGTTTCATCTAAATAAAAAATATTTCTTCTTTGGTTTCTCATTTCTTTTATAGTCCTTAGGTAATTTCTTCTCCATACTACAATATGACTTCTTTCTATTAAAATAGACTTTCTGGAATGCTTTTTCCATAGAAAACATATTTCTTTTAAAAGTTTCCATAGTGTGCTTCGACTCATTTCAGGGTAATCCTTATCATCTCGAACCGTGGCTAGAACTTTGTCTACTGTCGGAAATTCTTTTCTAAAGAAGAACGCATGCACTTTCCTTTGAAGTCTTTCTTTCAAAAGATTTTCTAATTGAAATTTTGGTTTTCCTGGAGCTTTACGTGCTGTTTGAAACTCGCCACATTTCTCTTTTTTAACAACTCTGTAAATCGTAGATTTCCCAACACCAAGCGTACTACTAACTAATTCCACTGTGTCATCAACACTTTTACATATATGTTTGTCTGTAAATAATTTAAAACAATTAAATATTAATGTTTTTTCATTAACTGTTAAAGGACCGATTTTTTGTCGTTTACGCGGCCCTTCCAAATTTTCCATGATCACACTAGAATTCACACTGCACCTTGCAAGTTGCAACTAAACGACATTTAGTAAACTGTCAAGAATACACAACTTAGACCTGCTTACTAAATGGAAAACCTATAATCGCATTTTCGGTGAAATTTGTTGGGAAGGTATTTATCTACTTATAATTCGATTACTGTAAGAAATTCTTGGAATTAAAATAAAACAAAATTGGCAAATAGGTACTTATTGAAAATAATAATATAATCTTTAATACACAGGGCTTTTGGCCTCTCCAAACCTTTTTCTATTGTTCTGTACAGCTTATGTTTATAAAGGACCAATAAAAGACCCAAAACTTGCAAAAGCTCAGGTACATTTATTACAATTTTAGGAAATATTTAGATTATTCTGTAAAAATATTTAAAATGACCGTACTAAGTTTTGCATAAGAAATGCTGTTTTATTACTCTCTCATACATAAAAATAGACTATAGTATCCTGCAACAATCTATTGCAGGACGCTTATTGTACTTAATTTTAGTGTTTCAAATAATATCTCCAATTTCTTATATTTAATAGTCACATTGGCATCGTCGCTTATTTTGTATATTTGAGTCCAATGCTAACGCTGAAAGGATATTTTCGTGGACTGCCGCGCGTTAATCCGATCTTCAAATAAAGATTAATTATTCTTATACTTCCAAAGAATTTTATAATTTTTTAAAAGATAACAAAAAATTAATAATAGCTGCGAAAAGTAAAAAATACGATTTTAAACGCAGTGACACTGTTAAGTAGTTGTAACTTTTTATATTCTTTTTATGTTCTATTTAAATAAAACGTTTAATCATTAGTTTATATTTACTTCGTTTTTTTAGTCGAATTGTTTATTAAAGTTGTTTTTGCAATAATAAAAATGTCCAGAATTTATAATGTATGTCCTGAATTTTTATTACCCTTGTCCAGAAAAATTCAAAAACAAAGTTAGCAACCCTACCTGTAGCTTAAAAATTAAAACAAAACAACCCAATGATTCACACCCTTAAATATCGGCACTCAATATAAAGATTATGATGTTTTTATATCAGATATTACTTAAATCTCTACCAGAAATTGAAATAATCCATCGTCAATAATTTCGAATCCCTTCTTAATTGCAATTGGCGGAACACTATCTTCAAAGTAACATATGACAGAACTGTCAGGATCATCGTCATTAAATTAAGAAGAAGCCTATTTTTTTTTATATATTTTTAAGTTCACATCAAGCATTTTAAAAACAATTAAAGAAAGCACTACATAACAGTTCAATTTAAGATCTCTATAGTTTAAATCAATTTTACTAATTGATTATTAGTAGCGGATCGAACTACAATCCCACGGTGTCTCGTACTTTATACAAGAGGTTTCGAACATCATGTAGGCTCGTCATCCGTGTAAATCACTTTCCGTACAATTAAATCATTATGTGCAATTAATTAATTTATAAATAATGGACTTCAACCATTGACCTCTACCTTTAATACTCTTAACAATGGTATTAGTTGTGGAGAAGTAGAAAATGAATACTATTACGTAATTCTTAATGTATGCACTTCAATTCGAGTTACACGATGGATGGTTGAGATTAAAAAGTCATTCATGCGGTAAAAAGTTAGTTCCTATATTTGTTTTGAGATTTGAAAACCTGTAAATGTTTATTACATTCTACAAGAAATGTTAACAAAGATACTATTTTTGTTAAACATAAAAGAATACAATTTTTAAAAAAATAATTTCTGAATATAATTCGCAT